CCACTTTATTATCGCTTTCTGGCCCACGTGTGATAACGTCCATAGGCACTTTAACAAGATTGTGTTTTAGAAAAATGAGGTCTACTCAGCAGCCTGTCCCAGCTGCACATCGGGGGAGACTTCTAAAGCTTTCCCTAGGATCAACATCCTGTATGGCAAACATAAAGTATTGTTTCCATCACACAACCAGTAGACAAAAATCAATGGCATGTAAGTGTTGTTCAAAGATCCTGGGATTTGTAGTTTGGTGAGGCACCAGAGCTCTCTGACAGACCAGGCTGAATACCTAATCAAACAACAAATGTCAGGATTCCATACAATAGAGTCATCAAAGTTAAAGTGATGTCAAACTGCCTTGTTTTTGCAGTGTAAAATCCAGGGAAGTCTATGGAGAACACACCAGAAAGCAATCTACACTTTACAGATACTGCAGCTTCTGAACTGTCTTCAAGGATCACCCCAAATACAGAGTGTTGCAGAAGTTTTAAAAATAAATGACTATGAGAGGCATAACTGGCCAGAATTATCTTCTGCAGGAAGGGGCACAGCTGGCATAACAGCCACAGTTAGGCAGAAACACTTTTGGAAATGGCTGTTGTCAGAGAACCCAAGAGCAACACTAGATTCAAGAGGACTGCCTTTTCTAATCATTCCATTATTATTATTATTATTATTATTATTATTATTATTATTATTATTATTATTATTATTATTATTAACAACTTATTAACACATTGTTATTATTATTAATAGGTTTGCTAGAGTTCCTATTAGTAAATTTTTTAGAGTTTGTTGTTGTATGCCTTCAAGTTGTTTCCATGTTATGGTGAACCTAAGGTGACCCTATCATGGGGCTTTATTGGTAAGATTTGTCCAGAGGAGGTTTGCCATTGCCGTCCCCTGAAGCTGAGAGCATGTATCTCACCCAAGATCAACCAATGAGTTTCATGGCCGAGCAGGGAATCGAACCCTGATCTCGAGAGTTGCAGTTCAACACTCAAACCACTATACTATGCTGGCTTTGTATTTGCTAATCTCCCTATTAGCAAAAATTTAGGGTACCATAGTTTACAATAAGATTCAGCAAAAATACAAATAATTTGAAATGATTGTATTCATTCATAAAGAACTTTTCCAATTTCACAGTATTCCTTGTTGTACTACCTGGAATTAAAAACAAAATTCCAAAAAAAAAAAAAAAAAAAGTCTTGTTAGCCACTAGTCTGAGAATAATCCTATTATGTCTAATTCAGTAGATAAATAATTTCTATTTGTTAGTTTCTGTAAATACATAAAGCAAACTGTTAATGATATCTGTCCATATAAAGTGATTCTACACAAAAGTAATGTGCTGTATTTCATAGAATGAGACAGGTCCCTGGTCTACTAAACTCTGTCTACATCAGATGTGGGCAGAGTGCTGCCTATGGGTGACATGTGTCTCCAGGGCTTTTAGGTGGCCCTTAGAGACCCCCCCCCC